ACACACACATACAGGATGCTCAATAAATGATAGCTGTCAAGTGGCTCATTACAGGGACTAACCTGAGCATAAAATGGAAGGGCTCACGGCATTAACACCCGAACACTTGTGATTTCTGCACTGAAGAGGGTCAGACTAGTTGGAGTCCCTTCCAATTATGTGATTCTAAAAGATATTGCATCTCCACTGATCACAGGTTTGTAGACAGCACAGAGCAATCATGTCTACGTGTCTCCAGCCACCAGTCTGCTTCCAGCTCACTCATATATATATACTCTGGCTCTTGATCTCCTACAAAGCAGCTAGGTGAGGAGGGTGGAGGAAAGGCCTACAGCTTGGAGGGCACCGCCCCATCCCCTAGTTGTAGCTCTTGCTGAGATAGTTCAGTAAGGACAGCATGAAACTCTTAATTTCAGGTTCATGGGTTCGAGCCCCACATTGGGCAAAAGATTCCTGTGTTGCAGGGGGTTGGACTAGATGACCACAGGGGTTCATTAATTCTACAATTCTATGCTTCCAACCCATCTCATTCCTTTGGGATGCCAATGAGGACACTTAAGTGGCCAGCTAAGATTGTTGTCTTACTAAGAAACTTGTCTGACTAGGTCAGCAATTTCAGTCAGCCAGACTGATCCCCCCAAAATTAGGTAAAGGTAAAGGTACCCCTGCCCGTACGGGCCAGTCTTGACAGACTCTAGGGTTGTGCGCCCATCTCACTTAAGAGGCCAGGGGCCAGCGCTGTCCGGAGACACTTCCGGGTCACGTGGCCAGCGTCACAAGCTGCATCTAGCGAGCCAGCGCAGCACACGGAAACGCCGTTTACCTTCCCGCCAGAGCGGTCCCTATTTATCTACTTGCACCCGGGGGTGCTTTCGAACCAAAATTACAACCTTCCAAATGCCCGGGACGGGACAGAACATTCCATTTTCCCCCTCACGAGATCTCAGTAGTAATTTTGGGTGCTACAATCTCACGCTGTGTCCCCCCCAACCCCCCCCCAAATTTTTGGGGTGAGAGCGAGATGTAGGTCACGTGATTCACCCCAGAGCACATGTTGGAAGCTGTGTGTCCTGGTTTTGCATCGGGGAAAGTTGGAAGGTATGTTTCCAAGCAGTTTGGCTTCCAGCCTAACATGCAAACCAGTTTGCACACACATGTGCTTGCACACATGCTTTCACTCAGTGCATTTTAAAAGCAACAACTTTTCCCTGTGACAGGAAGGGGAAAGCGGGCTTCTACAGTGACTGAAGGATCCTCCTTTGGTGATTTGCGCAATCTTGTTTCATGGCTTTCAGTTAATTTATCCCTGTTAGTTATAAAGTTTGGCTCCTTGTTCAGTCTTGAACTGGGGGAAGCTGACAAGCCACAGCTGCACAGTGTAACACACACACACACACACACACACACTGCTCTTCCTTCTTAACATTCTGTGTTACTACATTTTTATTAGCCTTCTGCAGCTGATAAGAAGCGAGTTTATTAATAGCCTGATCTTCCACACAGAGAATCCAGCATGGGTTTATGGGCTGCTGATGACGACGCTTCCCACTTCCTAAAGGGAGGCAGGATGCTGGGAAGAGAGGCATCACCACCTGGGGCAAAGGGCCTGCTTCCACTCAGGCGGCTCCTAATGCCACACAATCATCACTTTTCTGCTATAAACTATAAGCAGAATCACCACTGACTTCTCACCCCTGGGAGCGGGGGGCGGACAGAGTCCTCTGTGTACCTGTTTGGGCCTCCCACCATGTTCCCCCATACACTGGGGGCACTGCAAGCAGGGATTGCCTCCTCCCCCTTCCGCCCGCCCAGTCCAAGGCTACTTTCCCAGAGGCATTTGGCTGGCCACTGCGAGAAGAACATGCTGCACTAGATGGGCCGCCTATCCAGCAGCCAGGCTCTTCTTCATTTATTATGAATCCTAAAATGGAACCTCCACAGACAGAGACAGTCTATCTTAGAATGCTGGAGAACAAGCGTGGGAGGAGGCCGTTGCCCTGGGGGCTTTGGGGCATCTGTTTGGCCACTGTGAGAACAGGATGCTAGACTAGATGGGCTCCCTTTGGCCTGAGCCAGCAGCCAGGCTCTTATCTTCTTAATTGTTTTCAAAGCCACTGCTTTGATCATTTAATTATCAGTTTCTGGAAGCTACCGTATTTGTCGTTCTATAAGACGCACCAGACCATATAAGACGCACCAGACCATATAAGACACACCTCTGTAAGACGCACCTAGTTTTTGGAGGAGGAAAACAAGGGGGGGAAATTCTCAATCCCTGGCTTCTGGGATAGCTGCGCAGCCTGTATTCGCTCCATAAGATGCACACACATTTCCCCTTACTTTTTAGGAGGGAAAAAGTGTGTCTTATAGAGCGAAAAATACGGTATGCCTTCAGAGGTATAAAGAAGCAAGGAGCAGCTGAAATTCACACGGTGCCTGCCAGGTTCACCAGTTCTCCACTTGCAGAAGAGGCAACTTTAGTCATGCGTACACAGCCATAGCAGAAGCCAGAGACTTCAGTTGTTTGGTTCCTGAAGCTTTTCTTTACCTGGTCACAACCCCAAACATCATTTTAGTGTAACACTGCTGGGTTTCCAGAACAGTTTCAGAACATAAACATAAAAAGAAGGACAGAGGGGAAGAAAGTTGCCCTAATACAAATCCGTGGTGTTAGTTTTCAACATGTTCAGCTGCTTTTGAGTTCATTCATTTACAAATTCATAGCTGCTAGGAATCCAAGGAGTGTGTTTGTTGTGTTTCTATCCTGGGAGGTTATTTTGCAGATCATTTTCTCTAATGCCCCATGAGAAGGCTGTGAATCCCATATTGAGGGGTTGGAGTAGATGAGCCTTGGGCTCCCTTCCAACTCCACAATTCTATGACGTAAGACCACTCTGCAGCAGCCTGCATGGGGTTCTACACTAAAGACCAAGGGGACCTGACACCTCTGTGCCCAGGCCTGCAGCTTTAGCAAGGATCTGACTTCATATGGCAAGCGGACGAGACTTTTCCCCTCCCTCCAGAGTTCAGCAGGATATGTTTTCTTTCCCATCAGCGCTTCCTGCCCTGGGCCATAAACCAAATATAGGATATTAAAAAACCCAGAGCGTTTAGCCCTCCACATTCCCTCACATTGTCTTGCATTGTTTATGTGGGGGAAAATCATGACCCTATACATCAAGGCCATTGTATATCCATCATCACCGCAGGATCTGTATTCCCACTTTATCTCTCAGCGCTATTACCATGAGTAACAAGTATTCTTCTGGAGAGAGGCATTTGTTGCAAGACTAACATTTCCTGTGCTCTGCCCTTGCACAGAAAACCAGTGTAATCTTTTGGCAACAGCCAGGGCAATTCTGCAGGTCATGCTGGATCAGGCCCTTGGAAGCGTTTGCATAGTTTGCATTTTTGGACCAGAAGCAGGCAGGTGGTGCTGGACCTCTAAGTGGTGAGGGTGGAGGGGGGTTGCACCAAAGGGGCTCGCTGGGAGGAGATCGACATTTCTACAGTGTACTGTTTGCACTGAGTGGCTAAGGCCGATGGGAGAAGTGGCCTTTTCAGTGGTGGCTCCACACTTATGGAATGCTCTCTGCCCGCCTGGCACCAACACCATCTATTTTAAGGCACCAGCTAATTGCTTCTATTTTTACCCAGGCCTTCAGCCCTTAAGGAGGTAAATTGCACAGGGGTGGCAGGGAAAGAGCTGACTCCCCTTCCCCTGTTGCTTTGGCTCTGGTGGAATCTAGACACATATAAAAAAAACACTGTGAAATGCTTTAAAAAAAAGTTTTGAAAAATATATTGAATTTTTCTAGTGACACTTAAACCATTATATTTGAGAACATTCCACTAACACCCCCTGCCCCATATATGAAATATGCAACATCCTGGCTGTTTTACTCTCTAGCCAACCACTTCTGCCACCCAGCACATTGCCATTTCTTCATCTAACCATGCTCCTTGTAAACACTGACTCAACAAAAGTTTATACTGAATGTAGAGAACCCTCCTTGAACCTTATCTGCAGCTGTTTTTTCACTCTACTATTCGGTTAGGTTCCTCCTAAACTGGTTCTTACCAGTTCTGTGGTCAGAGGCTGGACTATTGTGTCCTCAGCGCTAACACGTCTTGCAGAATCTCTACCTCTCCCACCCCTCTGCCCTGTTAGAATTCCTGCTCCATGATTGCAGTCATGGGATTTTTGTCTATCACATGGCGGTGTATGTTTTGACTCCACAGAGTGGGAAGTGACGGAGACAGGATGTTGGTGTTACTGTGTTCCGTGAAGTGGGACTATTGTCTTTTGTTCTTTTTCTCTTTGCTGTCTGATGCTAGAGAGAGAGGGAGCCATGTTGCAGTGCTCCATGTGTGTTTATATGTAAATAAAGTAGATTAGCCAAAATGCTGAGTTGCTGAGGTCTGTTACGCATGATGCGCAAACTCTGCAGATCCCTAAGTGTGCCGGTGTCGGTTGGCATCGGGCGCTGTGATGTTTGGGCTGGAGAAAGCTTTTGAAGCTCCCTAACGAACAACCAAGGGAAGCGGGTGGCGCTGTGGGTAAAAGCCTCAGCGCCTAGGGCTTGCTGATCGAAAGGTCGCGGTTCGAATCCCCGCGGCGGGGTGCGCTCCCGCTGCTCAGTCCCAGCGCCTGCCAACCTAGCAGTTCAAAAGCACCCCCGGGTGCAAGTAGATAAACAGGGACCACTTACCAGCGGGAAGGTAAACGGCGTTCCGTGTGCGGCTCTGGCTCGCCAGAGCAGCGATGTCACGCTGGCCACGTGACCCGGAAGTGTCTCCGGACAGCGCTGGCCCCCGGCCTCTTGAGTGAGATGGGCGCACAACCCCAGAGTCTGTCAAGACTGGCCCTGTATGGGCAGGGGTACCTTTACCTTTACCTTAACGAACAACCAGGAGGGAGAGAACATGCCAGTCGGGCTTGTGTCTCTGCCGGGGTCCTACTCAAGCCCCTGACACGCCCATCCCACCCCACCACTTACTTGGTGGGCTGGGGCTGCAGTCCTGGGGGTTGCACTTCTGCGTGTTCTCCGGCCACGGTTCGTGGTCACAAAGGCTGCTGTCTTCTTCCACCTCCCCAGTCTTGGTGTTCATACATTTCACCTGCCTCTTCTGGATGCCTCCCCCACACATGGCCGTGCACTAAAGAGATCAAAAAGGACTTCAGACCACCCAGCCACAGCCTGCCCTGGACCACCCCAAGGAAGGGGGACGTAGCACCCTAATTTCCAATCATCAAAAATGTTCTGGATTCCTTCCCACCAGGGATTCAGGAGAAGGACTCCTGGCTTACCTGCCCCCAGGATCCCACTGTCCACTTGGTGCAGGGGTGGACGTTGCAAGGCCTGGTGTTGTTCGGGCGGAGGGCTTCGTCGCACCGTCCAAATTCCGGGCAGGTCACCAGGCGTTCTTGCTCCCCTCCTCCACACAGCTCAGAGCACTAGCAGGAAACAGGCAGGAGTCAGCTGAGAAGGAAGCACCACTGACCCACTACAGTGGATGCAGGCGGGTGCTTGGGCAGGAGCTAGTTCTAAGCCAAGGAGCAAGCATGGCAGTCAGAACAGGAGTGGGAGGCCACACGACAACCTCCATGGGCTTGTCTGCTTAGTGGGCTTCCCATGGAGTAAGGAGGTCCATTTATGGCTGGGGCAGCACATCGTAGTGGCCCCCAGATGTTGAACTCCAACTCCCAACCAGCCCCAGTTGACAGGGATGCTGGGAGTTGCAGTCCAATAGTATCTGGAGGGCGTCATGTTGGCTATCCCTGGTTTAAGGCACATCACTGGGGCAGCAGCCTGTATTTCCTGCTCTTTGGGAGCTTCCAAGTCTTTGGAGAGAGGATGTACCGTATTTTTCGCTCTATAAGACGCACCAGACCATAAGACATACCTAGTTTTTGGACGAGGAAAACAAGAAAAAAAATATTCAGAATCTCAGAAGCCAGAACAACAAGAGGGATCGCCTCTCGCTGTGGCTTCTGGGATAGCTGTGCAGCCTGCATTCACTCCATAAGATGCACACACATTTCCCCTTACTTTTTAGGAGGGAAAAAGTGAGTTTTATAGAGTAAAAAATACGGTATTTGCTAAAGCAGATCAGATCTCAGGGAGCATCACCTGGCAGAAGACATTCCTATTAAACCGAAATGGCACATTAGAAAAACTAAAATTCCAAGTGTCAATTATGACCCATAAAGTCCTATATAGCTTAGGTCCAAGTTATGTGAAGGACCGTCTTCTCCCATGCCAACCTGCCTGCGCTCTGAAATCTTCAAGGGAGGCCCTTCTCACAGTCCCACCACCCTCACAGACATGCTTGAAGGAGACACAGGAGAGGGCCTTCTTGGTGGCTGCTCCCAGGCTTTGGAACTCTCTCCCTAGAGAAGCCAGATGGGTTCCCTCTTTGCTGTCCTTTCATCATCCAGTGAAGACTTTTTTTCCCAACAGGCTTCTGGGAAAACTGACTGGGGTTTTTTTTAAAGGAAAAGGCTTTTACGAGAGCTGTGCTGTTTGCTTGTTTGTTTATTGAATCTGTATTTTAACAGATTTGTTTTTTATATTGCTTTTAATTCTGCTACTTTTCAACAATCGTTTTTAGTTTTTTCGCATTTGATTTGTGTTGTTTTGATTTGTGGAAGCCACCTTGAGTCCCCGTTGGGGGGAAAGGTGGGCTATACTGTAAATAGTTAATAACTACAACAACTACAAGGGAGGGTGGTAGTGGTGGGGTCATTCATTGCCTCTGGAATTTATTTTCCATTCAGCACAATGGTAAAAGTGAATGCATGCTACAGAGGGCGGAGATCCAAGCCACAAATCACCACTACCATCATCATCATCATTGCAGCCTACTCAAATCTGGGGTAAGAAAGCAGCAAGAAAAATTGGAGCAAGATGCCCCCAGCACAAGGGAGCTCTGGGTTGGGCTCACAGCTTCCTCCCCTCTCTGCTTGCCCCCTGCCCCCAACTCACCTCTCTCCAGGTAGAGGTGTACCAGCCAAGGCACAGCTTGCTATTGCAGGGCATCTGGGTGAGGGGCTTGTACAGCACAGCCTGGCAGTGGAAGGGGCGGAGGGGCCGCTGGTCCCTGCTGTCGACGCACTGGGTGTCCCGGACTTTCACACCGCCTCCACAGGTCCTGGAGCACTGGGTGCCAAATAGTGCAAAGAGAAGCCGGCTGAGAGCTGGCCACTGTCCATTGTGGGGTGGAGGGATATTGGGAAGCAGCCTGGCTGCTCTCAAAAGGAGACTGTTTTTGTTCCTACCTATTCAAGTCCCTGCTGTCCCGTCCCCCCATGAGTTCTAAGTCCCCCTGCTCCACTTTATGCTCACAACCACCCTGCAAGGTAGGCCAGCCTGAGAGGCAGGGAGTGGCCTCAGGGCAAGGTTTATGGAGGATTGGGACGCGGGTGGCGCTGTGGGTAAAAGCCTCAGCGCCTAGGGCTTGCCGATCAGAAGGTCGGCGGTTCGAATCCCCGCGGCGGGGTGCACTCCCGTTGCTCGGTCCCAGCGCCTGCCAACCTAGCAGTTCGAAAGCACCTCTGAGTGCAAGTAGATAAATAGGGACTGCTTACTAGTGGGAAGGTAAACGCGTTTCCGTGTGCGGCTCTGGCTCGCCAGAGCAGCGATGTCACGCTGGCCACGTGATCCGGAAGTGTCTCCGGACAGCGCTGGGCCCCGGCCTCTTGAGTGAGATGGGCGCACAACCCTAGAGTCTGTCAAGACTGGCCCGTACGGGCAGGGGTACCTTTACCTTTACCTTTACCTTTAGTAATTGGCTGCCAGGGCCGGCGCTATCCTAATGCATTCTGAGGCAGTTGCCTCAATGGCACACTGGAGGAAAGCGGACAGGGGCAGCAGGCTTAGACCTGCCTCCATGCCTCTTCCCTTAAAGGTAAAGGGACCCCTGACCATTAGGTCCAGTCGTGGCCGACTCTGGGGTTGCGGTGCTCATCTCGCTTTATTGGCCGAGGGAGCCGGCGTACAGCTTCCGGGTTATGTGGCCAGCATGACTAAGCGGCTTCTGGCGAACAAGAGCACAGAAACACTGTTTACCTTCCCGTCGGAGTGGTACCTATTTATCTACTTTGAGGTGCTTTCGAACTGCTAGGTTGGCAGGAGCCTCTTCCCTCACCCACTGTTAGATTGCAAAGATCTGAGGCTTTTGCTCCAGTTGGAGTCACTGCATTTTTGGGTTGGAACAGACTTTGGAAGTCATCGAGTACAACCTGCTGCTATGCAACACGGAGCAAATACTAAAAAAATTATCAAGAGGGGTGTGTGAAGACAAGCCCCAGAGGCCTCCTAGGCAAAGGGTGTTGCCTGAGGGGAGTTTTGCCTACTTTGCTCCAGTTCCCGACGCGCCAGCTAGAACATGGCCTCAAGTAGCACCTCCGGGCAGGGATGGGCTTCCGGGCTGGGCTGCAGTCTTGCTCCTGCCCTGTGCTGCAGCGCACTGTTCTCCAAATGGCGCCCAGGCCGCATGTGGTGGAGCACTGGAAGAAAGAGGAAGCCCTGTTAGCACCCAGGCCTGCTCAGTCCCCAGTAATTCGACAGAGCTGGGTTTTCACCTCCTGCCTCTCCAAGCTGTGCTAGGGAGCCTCAGGCCCTCCCAAATGTGGCCTTCTGCTTCTCTCCGCCTGGCCGTCCTGACTCTCCCCAAGCCACCCCCCTCCTGGCCTTGCTCCACACCCTCCTTGAGTATTTTGCTCTAGCTGGAGCTCCAGGGATGCTTCTTGCTTGTCTGGATGGAGGATAAAGAGGAGGGTGAGAATGTGTAGGGAAGCTAGCCTAAAGAGGTTTTAAAAATCCATACTTGTTGCTCCGCCCACTATTGCCTCTTGCCCCGCCCACTACCAGCATGTGGCCCCTGGAAGGCAACCTTTGAGTTGAAAAAGATTCTCCAGCTCCTCTACCCAGTGGCCCAAACTCTGGCCCATCCCCATCTGCCACTGCCTTCTCATACCGCCTGCTGGAGCGTCTTGCAATCACCAGAGTCCCAACAGGCAAAGAGGCCACGTGGTCTGAAAAGACAACCTTGGAGCCAAGACAGGGTGTTCTCTGCACCCGCAACCCCCATCCATTCCACCTCCTCTAGACCAGGTGTAGCCAACAAGGTGCATAGCCTCCGACAGTTCTCTGATGAAAATAGGGACACCCTATTCCATACCCTCCAACATTTCTCCAATCAAAACAGAGACGTCCCCTCCAATATTTCTCCGGTGGAAAGAGGGACATCCTAAAGAAAAGACAGGCATTCCAGGATCAAATCAGAAACCAGGACAGCTTCTGTAAATCTGGTACAGTCTCTGGAAAATAGGGAAGAAGACGAAGACGAAGAAGAAGAAGAAGAGGAGGAGGAGGAGGAGGAGGAGGAGGAGGAGTTTGGACTTGATATCCCGCCTTTCACTCCCCTTTAGGAGTCTCAAAGCGGCTAACATTCTCCTTTCCCTTCCTCCCCCACAACAAACACTCTGCGAGGTGAGTGAGGCTGAGAGACTTCAGAGAAGTGTGACTGGCCCAAGGTCACCCAGCAGCTGCGTGTGGAGGAGCGGAGACGCGAACCCGGTTCCCCAGATTACGAGTCCACCGCTCTTAACCACCACACCACGCTGGCTCTCTGGGACACTTGGAGGGTCTGTAGGTGCCGTCCAGGGGTGGTTGGACTACAGCTCCAGATCTGGAGTCCTGCAGTGGCTGCCGGTGAGCTACAGTGTCCAATTCAAGGCACTGGTGCTAGTATACAGAGCCCTAAAAGACCTGGACTTAGAGGAGAGCCTTACTCCATACATCCCAACTTGCTGTTTATGATCAGGTTGGGGGAGCATCAGAAGCACCAACTGGATCAGGACAGTAGCCCATCAAGTCCAGCATCCTGTTCTCACAGTGGCCAACCAGATGTCCCAATGGGACCCGAGCACAAGAGCAACTCTCCTCTCCAGTGTTTCCAGCAACCGGTATTCGAAAGCGTTGCTGCCTCCAGCCGTGGAGGCAGAGCAGAGCCAGCATTGCCCCTGGATGGAAAGGGCAGTGTGAACAGGGGAAGCGACCCCCATCTCTGGAACTCCCTTCCAGACAGCTCCTTATAGGGAAGTTTTTTAAAAAATGTTTTATTATTTTTTATAAACTGTATGTTGGAAGCCGCCTAGAGTGGCTGGGGCAACTCAGTCACATGAGTGGGATATAAATAGGAATATTGTCGTTGTTGTTGTTGAATAGGATGTCCCTATATTCAACGGAGAAATGTTGGAAGGTATGCTGTCATTTTAATTATTATATATTGGATATGTCCTTTTCCCTTATGTTTTTTTAGCCAATCTAGGCACCCTTCAGGGAGGTAGGGGGAGAAATATAAATTTAATACATAAATAGCAAATAAATAAAATCCCAACCACCAGCATGGCTAGTGACTGCTGTCTAAACAATTTTGCTTAGAAAGTCAATGAGAGTTTCGATTTGTTTTTAGAGTTTAAAAACTTTTTAGAAGTTTTTAATTATTGTTGTTAATGCTTCTTGTCGATAATTTTATTGTTTTAACTGCTTTGTGGTTTTGGTTTTTTTTTACAATAAAAAAATATGTACATTTTATGAAACAAGTAAATAAAAATAATTGCAGCCCAACAATAACTGGAGGGAACCAGGCTGGCTAACCCTGCTCTGGACGAGAGTGTGACCCAAACCCTCCCATTTTCTGCAGAGCTGAGCTCTGGGGAAAGCAGGCTGGGTGCCAAGGGGCTCAGAGCCAAGCAGAGAACTCCCTGCAACTGGCAGGTATCCTCTCCTTCCTGCCAGGAACTTGCCTCACTCCAGTTTCCAGCTTCCCAGCTGGCATTCAGAGCAGCTGCGACGGTAGCTGGAGGAGCCACCGAGAGCGTCCTGTCCTCCTTTTCCTCCTGGTGCCTTGCAGTCGTGGGCCTGGGCCCGAGGCCTCCATGGCTGCTTGCAATAATCCAGTGAGCCCCATGGGGGGCACTTTTATTTCTGCCCCCAGAGAGTCCCTGGTCCCCCACACTGGGAGGGATATGCTCAGCATCCCACTTGGTTTTCATTCCAACAGACTCCTCCTTCCGCCTTGGTGCAGGTGGCATGGAAGGGACAGAGCCAGGGGAGGAGGGCCCCCACTCCAAGGATGTCGGCTCAGTCGGCAGCTGCCGCCCCAGTGAGTTGGGACTGTGTGGCATGAGCAGAACGCGGCTGGAAGGGGGCTGCCTCTCAACTGTATTGCTGTCAAGCCCAGGTGGCTCATATGGAAAGGTGGGTGTGGGCTCCAGGGAGGGAGACTCGCCCTTGGCCTTGACTACATCAGCAGGAGAGTGTTGGAGGTCCTGTGCATCTGCTGCAAGTCTCTTGCTGTTTGCCACATCGTACGGACTCACACCATCCTCAGGCTTCCTGCTTGTCTCGCTTGGGACCTGAGCTGGAAGGTGAAGAGTGGTTTCAGTAGGACCAGGTAGTGGAGAAATGAAGTTCCCATGTGTCCCCTTTGATGCTGTTTCTGCAGTTCCTGCCGCAACTGTCCTAACCAGGGCTTCTTCCATTCTGCGTCCATCACCAACATCATCTTTGAGATCAACGATGGCCTGGTCTGCACCACCACCTTCTCCACGGCCCAACAAGCCATTGTCTTCGATGGTGCTGAGATATGGGACCTTTGAGCCTCCAACGTCTTCCTTCCAGCTCTTGCGAGTGCTAAACTCATGGTCTTGACTGGGGCTGCCCTCAACAGAAGGTACGGTTGGAGTCAGGGGGGTCAAGTAAGGGAAGATCACAGAGGGGGCCTTGTTTGCTACCTTCCCTTCCCAATGTGTGGTGTCTTCTTGGGCACGATTGACAGATACATGGGTGTTGGTGCCAGAAGGGAAATCCGTTGCAGCTGCAGAAGTGGAAGAAGGAAGATCTCCCCAAATGGCTGTTGGGTTCTCCTTCACATTAACTGCCATGGAGGAGGTCGGAGAGACAGCAACGGCTGTACCCAAAGAACCATGCCAACTGACAGCAGTGCTATGCTCTTGAAACCCACTGGTTACCCCTTTGCTATTCTGCCCAACAGCTGGAGATGTTGGGCTTCCATGGTCCATCTCTAGCTTTACAGTAGAGAGAGAATCAGGAGCCATTTCTTGAGGGTCCTCTTTCACGTTGCTGACCTTCTTCACCCCAACATCCGGCAACAAGTCCTCTCTCTCACTACCCTTGGCGTCCGCTGGGTCGTAAGACAGATCTTCATGGAAGTTGATAAAATTGTAATCATAGTAAAAATCATCCACAAAAACGTTTCCCTTTTTGTTGTTGCCGGGCGAAAAGTCTTCTTCCCTTATGGCATTGAGGTCTTCAGATTTGGGTGACAAAGGGCTAAATCGAGGGATGGGGTGGCTTGGGATGAAATTGATCTCATTGTACAGCTCCCGGCTCGAGGAACCAGAGCCTGACCAGTCTGGGAAGATGCTCTCGATCTTGTTCCAGCAGGGCAGCAACGAACAGGCAATTTCAGAGGCTGGTCTTTGCCCCGGATCACAGCTGGCTCTGGTATTATTGGGGCAGTACACCAGGCGATGCTGTATCCCACTTCCACATGTGACCGAACACTGTATGGGAAAGGGGAGAGAAAATAAGGAGTGTGAGAGACATCAATGGCCAACACCGTGCTGGTAGTTTCTCTATGTTCTGATCCTCCAAGAGAGATAGTGTGGTATAGTGGTTGGAGCAGTTGATCCCAAAGTGGGTGGTAGCACCCCCGAGGGGCAATGGGATTACCTAGGTGGGGGTGCTAAGAAGCGTTGGCAAGTGGGAACAGGAAGTGTAAATTATTATCAGATTTGAAAAAGCTGGTATCAATGGTTTGTCCATCAATTTTGTTGTAGTAATTAAACTAAATAGTTTTTATTGATTTTATATATGTGTGTGTGTGCCACTGTTTTGAATTTAATTGTGTTACGGTCTTCCTTAGTGGGTCATGCAAACCACTATTCTGATAATGCCTTTTATAGGGTAGGGAACACTGGGGAAGGGTTTATAAAACCAAGGGATTGGTGGCCCCCAAAAGTTTGGGAACCACCAGTTAGAGCATCAGACTAGGACCTGGAAGACCAGGTTTCCAATACAGTGGTACCTCAGGTTAAGTACTTAATTTGTTCTGGAGGTCCGTTCTTAACCTGAAACTGTTCTTAACCTGAAGACCACTTTAACTAATGGGGCCTCCTGCTGCCGCTGTGCCGCCAGAGCTCAATTTCTGTTCTCATCCTGAAGCAAAGTTCTTAACCTGAAGCACTATTTCTGGGTTAGCGGAGTCTGTAACCTGAAGTGTATGTAACCCGAGGTACCACTGGATCCACTTGGCCATGACCTCTTGGCCTAACCTACCTCACAGGTTTGTTGTGGGGATTATAGAAGGTGGGAAGAGAACCATGTATACCCCACCTTGGGCTCCTTGGAGACACGGGTGGTGGAATATAAGTGCAGTAAATAAACAAACCTGGTGCCCCAGTTGTAGTCCAAAATTTCTGGAGGGCACCAGGTTGGGGAAGGCTGGTTCATGCAAAAAAAGGGCCAGAAATCATTATAATCCAAGGTCATTTGCTCTTTCCACTACAGAAGCTCAATCTAAACCCAGCCATCGTTCTTCAGTTTCAGGTCAGCTTGGCTTGCATGGAAAAACCCAGACAGCTGGGGGGCTGGCGGGTGACCCTGGAGGGGGCTGGCACCCAGTGACTTCGTAGGTCGTCTCTATTTGGGGTTCCCATCAAGTACCACCCTTCATCCCAGCAAGATTCCTAGCTGAGGGGGGAAAGAGCGAGTGGGGATTTGCTAATAGGGAGAAACAAAGCACAAGAAGGATGTTTGTTGCGGCTGAGCAGATAAGAGGTCTTCTGACCTTTCTCCAGAGTTGCAGCAACCCACATACCGAAAATAGTTTCATGCCACAAGGACATGTGACTCGCTGCCAGCCACATTAAAAGCGGAGTCTTTCTGTATGGACCCTGGGAGGGAAAACCCGGATTGCCCAAGGCCAAGGATGTTGGGCAGCCTCCTCTGCCCTCTCCCAAGCGAGATCTCTGTTGGGGCTTGCTCTCAAGTGCATTTGGATTTCAGAGTACAGTGTTGGCCTTTGCCAAATTTGCAAAAGCCATGGTTATTTAGGCAATGGAGAATCCTCCAATGCCTGTCTGGAGGAAGGTAGGAAGCTAGCTGCTTTATAATGAATCAGATCATGGGGTCCATCTAGCTCAATAATTGATTTGACAGCTGCCCTTCAGGATTTTAGACAGGGGCCATTCCCAGCCCTACCTGGAGATGCCCTTGTGGATCGAACCAAGACTTGCAGCAAGGGTTTTTGCGCTCGGATTCTCCTCACCTTGGACCAATTGCCAGCCAGCCACCGAGCCGGGCAGAGGACCTCTCGGTTGCAGGGGGCCGTGGCATCCGGCTTGGAGAGATGTTGGCATTTGCTGGCTTGCAGAGCCCGCTGCTCATCCAGCGCCACGCTCTGGATGCAGAGGATGGTCCTCTTCATCAGCCCAGTGTCCCCACAAGTGGCAGAACACGCCTGCCACTCGCCAGCCCACCACCTGGAAGGGAGTGAGCAGGATAGATAGATAATTTATTATGGTCGAAGACCAGCTTATAAAACACACTTGGGGGGTACAGCCACAGAGGTAAAACAGACAATTAAAACAATGTACAAGAATAAATTTAAAAACAATGTACAACAATAAACTATCCCAGGGGGTTGACCCAGAGTCACCCATGGGACCGAGTTTGGGGATTTTCATGGTGGACTACTTTGAGTTGGGAGATGGTCTGCGCCTACAGATCTGTACACAGAATCTGGCGACCATCCAGGTCATCTTCTGATCTTTGCCTAACAGGAAAAGGTCACATTTTTGCTTTTGCGGGAGGTCGGCGAGCCTCACCAGTAGGGGATCCATGGTCTTACTACGTGCATCTTCACAGAAGGGGCATCTAAAGAACAAGTGTTCTGGGCTTCCTATCTCTCCCAATGGACAGGTGCAAAGTCTCTGAGCATATGGGACTTTTCTAAAGCTGCCTTCCAGGACCGGCGAGGGAAGAGCCGAGTTTCTGCCGAGTGTAAAGGCCCTTCTTGCATTTCTAGATACGAGAAAGAAGAGATATGTTGCCGGTGCGGCTATATATCTCTCAATATCTCCAATTTTATAGTCAGGGCACCTTGCGCAGTCCTGTTGTCTCTCGGTGTCTAATAAGGAGTTCAAGGGTTAGGCTAGGGAAAGAGCAATTAGACGTCCAACTCTGGGAGCATGACCATTGCAAGGGTTTGGAATAGATGACCCTTTGGATCTCTTCCAACTCTACAATTCTTGATTCTAAGAGGCTCCTTTCACACTTATTGGGGAACAGGATGCTTGGCTCAATGGACCATTGACCTGATCCAACACGCTCTCCTTATGTTCTTGTGGTTTAGACGCAGAGGAGTTGAGCTGACCTGGCAGGGCACGGCTCCTCACTGCAACTCTTCTGCTTGTCGTCCGGCCGGCTAAGGACGTTGCAGTAGTGCTCCTCCACCATCCCAGCCACTTTCTCCATGCAGTGCACAACCTGCCGCTGGACCCCTGAGGAGAGAAGGAGGTGCGTATCAGGCACGCCCCATGCGCACAGTGCTACATGCTGGCAGGCCAAGAACTAAGGATCAGTGGGGTGTAGTGGTTAGAGTACTGGACCAGGACCTGGCAGACCAGGGTTCAAATCCCCACTCAGTCACGGCACTTGCTGGGTGACCTTGGGCCAGTCACTCCCTCTCAGCCTAGCCCACCTCACAGGGTTGTTGTGAGGATAAAATAGGGAGGCAGAGAACTATGTATGCAAGGTTGCAGGTTTGGTCCCCATAATGGACAGCTGCATATTCTTGCACTGCAGGGGGTTGGACTAGATGATTCTCAGGGTCTCTTCCAACGCTATGATTCTATGATTAAGTTATAAAACTCTTGGCACTTGAAGGTTGATCATGAGGAAAAGAGGTTCTTGGACTGAAACAGCTGCATGTCAACAGACAGCAGTGGCCCTCCAGGGTTTCAGGAGGGGCCATTCCTCAGCCCTACCTAGAGATACGACTGGGGGTTAAATCTGGCTCCCCTTTATCACATACACAGCCCAACAAGACGACAAAAACCCACCAACAGCATACAAATCAATATGGCTAACCTGTTCCAAAATACCCACCCACCCCACTCACACACGAAAACAAAGACCACCACAGCCAACCACAAATGAACAACCACACCCTAGGCCAACCCCAACCTCTCTCACCACCAAAGGAACGTAAGCGAACAACAAAGATCCTGCAGAAGCAACGCTGACACCAAACCCTACATATAGTAAGTAAAATAGAAACATCGTCACCCGACCCCACCCATCTTTCCCCCCCTCCACCTCTTTCCCCCTTTTCTTCCCAATGTCTCGACAAATGAAACTGATTTGTAAAAATGTTACATGGGGGGGGGGGGAATACGAGAGAGACATTGCAAACACTTTTGTAAAACAAGAAAATCTTTAATAATAATAATAATAATAATAATAATAATAATAATAATAATAAATTGTTTTAAAAAATCTGGGATCTTCTGCATGCAGGGCTGATGGTACAGCCACTTTCCCGGCTGGGTGTTAGAGTCCCACCACTACACACAATTGCTGCGTTGGGCAGCCAGCTGTAGCAAGGACCTTTTGGGAGCAGCGCAGGGGTTAATGATTGCAGAAGGCGCTGCAGGTCTCTAAGCCCTGCACCTGTGAGCAGCTGTTACTAACAATACCCCCCCAAGCCCTGCAAGGAGGGGAAGCAGCAGGAGGCAGCCTAGAGAACTTGGAATGTTGTAATTAAGTCACCACGGAGCGGAGCACCGTTGGGGGGCTGAGGTCAGCAAAGATCAGGTTGAAAACGGAGCATGCCAACACCAACACACACACACACACACACACACACACACACACACTCTGCATGGATGACCAGCTAACAAACAAGGACCCTCTTTGTCTGCCCCCCTTCTTTGTTAGGGCCTCTGCGCCAGCAGCTCCTGCATCCAACTCCCTATCTTTAAGCTATTCTAAGATGGGGTGGGGCTGTGGTCTCAAAACCAGGCATAAAAGCGCTTCGTCGTGCAGGACAAAGAAAACCCGTTCCCTCAACCAGAACCCTTGAAAGCAGCACACTTAAATAATGCCCAAACCGCTCCATTTCAGAGGTTGATTTGTCCGCCTGTGACCTTGAGCCCAGAGCCGTTAACAAGAAAGAAATCTAAACTGTTGGTCCTGGCCTTAAGTTTATTTTAAAAACAAAAGCTGCAATTTATTCCTCTGTGTTTTTGTTTTTATGGCAATGCCTTCTTGCAATAATTGGTGCAACTGGTAACGGGACTCCCGCCGAGTCGGTTTTCTGCTGGCCGGGCTCAGGGCCCTCCTCCACGTACAATGCCGCAGATTGTCTGCGGGAACAATAGCCCTTTTCTGCCAGGAACAGTAGTGCCGATCTGAAGAGAGCTCTTGCAATTGGATGCATGGAACTCCACAGGGCTGGGAAAGAATCCTGGAAACTGATCTCCTGCCACGTGGGGTGAGCTGCAAGCCAAGACTCTGCAATGAGGAGCGCCGGGCAGGAGAGCCAACAGCCGACCTCAGAAATCAATCCTAGCAGCGGGAGAGGCCCACGGGTAATCCCACAGGAGAGAAACCTTTTCCTGAGGATTTATTTGATTTAGTGTGTCCATGTTCCAACAGTACAGTTACATTGCCACCTCCCTCTCTCTTTTGCAGAGCTCAAAGGAGCGTGCACAATTTGACCTCACCCTGTAAGCTCAGATAGGCTGAGGATGCTACCAGACTGTCTTGTGTTTTACGGCAGGTATGCATGCACATATCAGAAAAGTTCATGCAATTAAAGTGGATCCAAGTGTGCTCTGTCACCCCATCACAAAAAACTTCGCTTTCTAAAAATAAACAAAATATCAGGATATGGATTTCAAATCGATTTGGGATGATATATCAATAGATCACCTTGCCAACAAAGGTCCGTATACTGTAGTTAAAGCTATGGTTTTCCCAGTAGTGATGTATGGAAGTGAGAGCTGGACCATAAAGGCTGATCGCCCGAAGAATTGATGCTTTTGAATTATGGTGCTAGAGGAGACTCTTGAGAGTCCCATGGACTGCAAGAAGATCAAACCTCTCCATTCTGAAGGAAATCAGCCCTGAGTGCTCACTGGAAGGACAGATCCTGAAGCTGAGACTCCAATACTTTGGCCACCTCATGAGAAGAGAAGACTCCCTGGAAAAGACCCTGATGTTGGGAAAGATTGAGGGCAGAAGGAGAAGGGGACGACAGAGGACAAGATGGTTGGACAGTGTTCTCGAAGCTACCAGTGTGAGTTTGACTAAACTGCGGGAAGCAGTGGAAGACAGGAGTGCCCGGCGTGCTCTGGTCCATGGGGTCAGGAAGAGTCGGACCGACTGAACGGCTAAACAACAACAATTGATAGATCACCCAGCCCCACTTAGAATAATTGAATTGTCGAGTTGGAAGGGGCCCTGAGGATCAACTAGTTCAACCCCCTGCAATTCAGGAATATGCAGTTGCCCCATACAGGGATCAAACCTGCAACCTTGCCATTATCAGCACCATGCTCTAACCAACTGAGCTACCCAGGCTCTAGCTCTGGCTTCCTGGAATACCCTCTGCTCTGCTGCAATAAAAGCATCAAGATTCAGGCAGAAGGTGTCCTAAGCTGAATTATGATCATGGCTCTTTCCTGCCTCCCCTTCCTTCTGCGCTGCCGCGCCATTCCTTCCTCCAGGAGAAAGAGAGGCGCCTGCCCACCGCCCTCCCAGATGGCACAAGGGCTATTTCCAGACCTCTGGAGCTATTTTAGCACAACTGTTTGGACAAAACAGGCTGTTTGCTGCCCGCTAACCTTGGCGGCTTTAGATAGGAAGCATCTGGGAGACGGCTCAGTGAAGGCTGCCTGCTTCCATTGGGGGCCCCTTGGTCAGCAGCAGCACCTATGAGTAGGCTGTCTGCTGAGGACTAGCCTCAGCTTCTGCACATCAGCAACAGCTGAGAGGTCAAAACACAAAACAGCTGCGAAATCCTCTCCCTGCAGAAGCCAAAAGCAGGAGCGTCAGGAGCTCTTTGCATGGAATTGCTACAACTGATGGAGCCTTCATGGAGGAGAGGGCAATCGATAGCTACTAGTCACGATGGCTATGCTCTGCCTCCAACTAGCTTTGCGAGAAAAGACTTCTGGGCTGCTTCCAGACTGCCATTATTTTGTAGAGGTAGGGGCATTTCAACTAAATTACCAGCCAATTCAGGTTGCATAATTAAACTGGGTTTGGCACTTTTGCAGGACAAACCCACTTCTCTGACCCTAAATGTGAGGGGGCGGACGCGGACTGGACAGTTTGCAGTAAGGAAAGGGGTGCAAAAGTGCAACGGAAATTGTGGGGCAACATTTGCTTGAGGCGACATCATTTCATCTCCCTGCAAACAAATCAGAACGAACACTCAATAAACAGTTAATGTTGTTTACCTTCCCTGCAAACTTTGTGGGAACTAGTTAGGAAGCTCAATAAACATGTCATCTGGAAGTGACCCTGACCTGCTTCTTAGCCAGGCATATTCAGAAAAATGTCCCATGGAATTTAATAGGACTTCCTCCCCCAAGTGAGTGCGCACAAGATGGCATCTGATCCTTGGGTGACTGTGTGAATGTGCACCAGCTCTGGGCTTGGACCTTGCAAATAGACAACACCTTCCTCCTCCTTATACCCCAGCCAGCATTGTTAGCTCCGGAGAGCCTCTTTTGCCATGTGTAAAATGCATGGCATGGAGGAAGCAGATAGAGAAAAGTTGTTCTCCCAGTCTCATAGCGCCAGAACTTGTGGACATCCAGTGAAACTGAACGTTGGAAGATTTGGGACGAAGAAAGTCTTTCTGCACGCAGGGCATAGTTAAACTCTGGAACTTGCTTCCAAAGCAGGCATTTATGGCCACCATCTTGCATGGCTTAAAAAGAGGGTTAGACTAAGGTTACTAGACGTCCCTGTTTCCCGGGGACAGTCCCTGGATTTACAAATCAGTCCCCATACAAAATCCATTGAAGTTGAAAAGTGTCCCCGGATTCATTGGGGGGGGAAATCTGGTAACTTTAGGTTAGACAAATTCATGGAAGAGGAGAGGGCTATCGATGACTGCTAGCCATGATGGCTTTGCTCTGCCTCCACAGTCAGAGGCGGCAATGCTTCTGAATACCAGTTGCTGGAAGCCACAAGAGGGGACTATACCTGAAGGAGTGTCTCCACCCCCATCGTTCTGCCCGGACACTGAGGTCCAGCTCCGAGGGCCTTCTGGCGGTTCCCTCACTGCGAGAAGCCAAGTTACAAGGAACCAGGCAGAGGGCCTTCTCGGTAGTGGCACCCGCCCTGTGGAACGCCCTCCCACTAGATGTCAAAGAGAACAACAACTACCAGACTTTTAGAAGACATCTGAAGGCAGCCCTCTTTAGGGAAGCTTTTAATGTTTGATGCATTATGGTATTTTAATATTTTGTTGGAAGGCACCCAG